AAACCCGAGTGATCGCTATCAGCAGGTCATCGTGGGTCTGCCACAAGGAAAGCATGGAGGCCAGCCCTTCAGCCTGGATGAGCTTTGCCGTTTTACGGGTCAATCAGCAAGAGCACGGAGTGGCCATGGCTGCTGAGGCCCAAACACAGGCTTGCAGCCCAGCCCTGTCAGGCAGCAATAAAAACAGAAGCAGAAGACAGGCAGTGGCGGTGGCAGCCTGAATGGAGAAGGTGGGTGGGCCAGGCTGAGCTGCCTGGCAGCATGTCACTTACAAGGCTCCGGTGTAGCCTGGTGGGCAGCGGCATTCTCCTGTGATGTGGTCGCAGGTGGCTCCATTCTGGCACTGGCATCTCTGGTGACAGTCATTACCGTAGGTGCCCTGCTCACAGCGGTCCTCGCAGCGCCAGCCCCGAAAGCCTGCCACGCAGTGGCAAGCCCCAGTGATGGGGTTGCACAGAGCCCTGTTTTTGCACTGGCATCGGCTGCTGCAGTGTGGTCCCCAGTGATCCCCATCACAGGCTGAGGGGTGGGAAAGAAAAAAGGGAAGGCATCAGGTGGTGGGCCTAGGAAACAGCTAGCCCTTGAGAGCCAATTGCCTCTCCTCTGGGAGAGAATGGCTCAAAGAAACACCCCCTTCTATCACCATTTCTCAGCTGGTCATCAGGGCACCTGCACCAACACACGGTTGTGCTTCACATATTGGCATTCGGCATGCTCACCGTAATCTGACAGTTAAGGATCGCATCAGCATCCACACACTCTCCACCCCCTTAGCTTTGTTCAGACCGTTCCTACACCTGGAGTGTTGAGTTTGATGTGGCTGGAGGGATGGTGTGTGAGTCCAGGTAGACTAGAGAAACAAATCCATAGAAACTCATATGTGCATAAGAGAGAGTTTTATAGAAAGGGTAATTGTACATTAAGAAAGCATCCTAACCCGGTCCAATTCAAGCCCATAAGTCCGATATTAACTCATATGTCCAATACAAATCTATAAATTCCTCTTCAGACTCATGAAACACAATGACACTGAATGCAGGATGGTCACAGGTCAGTGGGTAAAAAGTCTTTGGATTCAGTGGCATTGTAAGTATATCAGCGCTGGCAGGGGTCTCCACGTGGCTTCGCCAGTTCCCAGGTCACGGGGTCTATCAGCGTAGTGCCATGTGTCTTGTCAGTAGAGCATTTCCAAGGGAGTGAGCAGAGAGGGAGATAATGTCTCCGGCCTCCAAAGAGGAAAAACCAGATTTCCCAGAATTCTCAGGAGAAAGCCATGCCCACACAGAGGTCTCATTCGTTATATCTTGATTGACAGGCCAGACTCCACCCTTTACGTGTAATCCTCGCAAGTCCCAAATTGACACCAGATAATTACCACAGATGGTCTAGCTAGGTTGTGAGGGGTTGCTGGGAACAGGGGTTGGTCAGGTAGATGGGAATGGTCACCTCAAGTAAGGATGTTCATGCCATGCTAAGGAGTGGAGATTTCATCCACACACAGGGGATTGGTAGCACGGGCTTTTAAACAGGGAGAGCGTGCAGACTGGCCTCCTATGAAGGCAGCCAGCCACAGTATGAGAAAAGGGCCAAATGGGTTGACGTTTGGAGATGGGGAGGCAGAGCAGGGAAAACTGCAATTCTTCAGGAGGTCAGTGAGAGGCCCGACCCACGGCCTTTCAACCATGAAGATTGAGTGGGGACCCAGACGCTAGGCTATTGAGAAGGGGACTTCTGGCCCTAGGTCTGAGCTGAGTACACAGAGATGGAAACCACCGATCCACTGGGAAGATATCAATCAAAATGTGTGGGGCTGGGAGCTATAGCAATGACCGGGGACCTTTTGGCAAAGTTTAAATATACTGACCTAATAATGATGTAATGAATCGGGAACTGAAAATGGGTAGCCAGTGACTATATCGTAGGCATATGAATCCAGGCATGCAAACACTAGACTATCTCGTTCGAGAGACAGACTTAAAAGAGCAGTTTTAAAGAAAGGAAGAGCAGCTGTCATGAAAAACGCAAGGCGAGGAAAGAGATGCAGGAAGGGAAAAGAAACCATCAATCCCACCATGCCAAAAATCCTAAAAAGGGATGATCAGAAAAAGCGAGGCTTGCTATGGACTGCCTAGCCAGCAGTATATATTTTTCATTAGATGCTGGAAAAAAAAAAAAAACACTAGGGAAGATACACCCTACCTAGAGCTCTTAGGACAAATAGCAGCATCATGTTGAAACATGCTTCTATTGCATTGAGATTCCGTGACTTTAACAGATCTAGAAAAACGTTTTCCAAAACAAAAAGGAAACCCTAGACACAAAAGAAACAGTTTATTAGACTAGGAGTCATCTTTTAATATTAGATGCTACCTTTGATTTCATAAAATCAAAAACGAATTGAAATGAATAATTCTATTTTTAATCAGCCTGGCTTTAGTCTCATTAGTACCTTAATAAACACACTTTAACACGATTAACAAGCACGAGAGGAAATTATTGAACCTAAAGCAGATCAAGAAAGCAATTACCTTAGAAATGCAATCTTCCTTCACAAAATAAGATTAGGTGGTAGTTCCCAGACAAGATTTAAATCTACTTGTTATTCATATAAGTTTAGTTTTTTATTTTTTAGTAATTGCCTGTGGACACAAAGAGTATTTTTCAATTGTAACGCTTTTTACTAAGGATCTATGCTAAAAGTAACAGGGTGTGTTTCTTTAAATTTTCTTAGCTATGCCAGGTAGACTAAAATCTCTCCTGCTGGCAAGGCTCTCCAAAGTAATGACACAGCCTTTTGTAACCGGTTCCCTGGCTCATCAATGCTCCAGAGTAAAGGAAATCTTCATTCCATGAAAGCCAAATCCATTATCCTGTAATTTAATCCTTTTTCCTCCTGTCTTCCTCCAGTTCATCACTGTTCACTATACTATAAATGATCTTATTTCTGAAATGTGAATTCCTGGTTCACCCTGCTTTTCTCGAAAGATGAAAACCCCAACATTTTAAACTTGGTTTCAAAAGGGCTGATTCAATTTTCGCTCAGCTTCTTCTCCAAATGCTCTTCAAAATTTCAATGTTCTGTAGTATCTGATGACTTTTAAACTATTCTGTAATATCAGCATACTTCCGCGTCTCTTTGAACTTCAGGGAGCCCCAGATATTCAATTAAATATCCATCTTCTGTCTATGTCTGAGGATTGGTTGACAGAAAATGCAATTCCAGCTAATAAAATAACCCTGATAAAGACATCATGATCAAGTCAAGAGTACTAACACACTAGACTGGAGCAGCGAAGGCCTCCTTTCCCCCTGGGATACGAGTGGGTCCAAGCACATATGCTTCGCAGAGTGGCTCTCAGAACAAGAGTTGTGGGGAAATGCGAGCACAGAGAGGGTAGAATTGATCTCTCCTTCGGACTCGTTTCCACACCCCATGCAACAACTCCTTTTCCAGCAGAGCAGCCAGACACAAGATAACCTCTGTTTTCCTGGGACCTGACCTGCCCCCCAGGCTCTCAGAAGCCGTCAATGCATTTCCTCATGATAAAAATGAATTTCCAGCAGAAATTGATAGCTATCAACAGAGAAAGGGTTGCAGGCCTTTAAAGAAGCCTTATTTTGCCAACAGGGCTAATTTCCTGGCTATCTCTAAGGACAGTGGCATGCTTTGAAGTCACTGCTTCCCCTCTTTCAGCCACATTTTCCTAAAAGGCCAATGATACCCAGACCGCAGACCTCACAATGTGAAAACCATGCATCAACAAGGGGGATGGGTGTGTGTGGGTGTGTGTGTGTGTGTGAAGGACGCAGAAGCGGGACTGCATTCAGGAATCACTGCAGCCTCCTTTGCTGTCTTCATTGGTCACATTTCACCCCCTCGGCACACTCGTTTCTAAATGCATCCCAGTGAGTTACCTAGTGCACAAAGCCAGCTCTTCTCCTTGGCTGCTATAAACGCCACAGTACGGTGACTGTCTAGACACGAGGCAGGGTTTGTTGCCTGCAGGTTATGTTGAGTGCAGAGCTTGACCAATTATCTTGAATTTGAAAGAATTCAGAGAGATGGCTTGGAGAGTCTGACCCCACACTATCTGACACCTTCTCGCTCTGTCCTCAAGGAGCAAGGGCTTGCCTTGAAAGCGACTGCCTGGTTACTCCTCCCACTGACAACATAGGGGGAAATTGAGTCAACGTGGAGACAGCATGGGCATCATTTTGTAAAAAGAAAAGCAATGGGAACCCTATTGAGCGGTTCTACTATGTCCTGCAGGGCTGCTATGCCTTAGAACTGACTCTACAGCGGTGGGACTGCTGACTTAAAGTTTGTTTGCAATTTGCCTAGCAAGAAATGAAAACAGCAAAGCAATGGATACTTCTGCTTTATAAAAAGGAGTATATATTATTTTAAATCTCTGCATTTACAGATAAATATTTGGAGGTCACGACATCTGCGGGGGTGTGGGCGGGGTGAAGGGTAAATAAACTTCTGTTTCAGATGAAACTGGACGGAATCCAAATGCTATCGAAAAGGGACGGCACGTGTCCCTCTGAATTCCAGTTCTTGTGAAGCAGGTTGTTAGGGGTCTTCAAGCTGACTCTGACCCAGTGTGACCTATATACAACAGAGCAAAACATGGCCAGCACTGCACCACCCTCACAAATGTTTTAGATGCACTCTGAAATGATATTATTGTTCATGCACTCATTTTGTACTTAGATCTCAATTTTTAAGTTTCTCTTGTTTCAGACTTCCTAAGCAAAATTGAATTTCTGGACCTCAGTAATAGTCAACTGCAGGTTTTTGTAAAACCACACCATGCTTGTACTTGGCTGCACAGCCGGCTGACCGTGAGGCTAAGTGCATACTACGGGACACCGTGCACCTTAAGCTCATGATAACCTCTCCCCTTTGGTGGAAGCCACTACTCGTACACCATGATCAAAGTACATTATGACCTCCACGTTAGATATTAGTCTGTCAATGTGCATATCAAAAGCACTTTACTCAGAAATGTCTTTCAGTTATTTTGTTCAAAAGAGAAAAATGTATGCATATAAAGGCAATAACAATAGCTAATTCGTTAATAACACTGGGTGCCTGCAGATGCTGTTTTAAGTACTTTGGAGAGATTAACTCTCAAAGTAACCCTATAAAGTAGGTACTGTTATGATCCTTAGGAGCCCTTGTGTTATAGTGGGTTATGCATTGGGCTGCTAACAGCAAGTTCAGCAGTTTGAACCCATCAGCCACTCCATGGGAGAAAGAGGCTTTCTAGTCTTATAAAGATTTACATTCTCAGAACCCACAGGAGCAGTTCTACTGTGTCCTCTCTGGCCACTATGACTTGAATCAACTCGATGATGATAAGTCTTCATTTGGTTATTATCTTTATTTAAAGATGAAGACATATTATCCTTATTTTAGAGATGAAGATAGTGAGGTTCAATGGACTGGCTTAAGTTTATAGAGGTAGTAAATGCCAGAGTCAGTGTACTAAACACTATATTAATTTATTCCC